CTGATAAAATTGATAAACAACTTTTTTGTATAGTTGCCAACTATAATAAGATCAAATTAAATGTTTACAAACTTCTTATTTGATCCTGTTGTAGCTAGCACTTTTAAAAAGTGATTACAATTGTAATATTAAGATGCTTATGTATTGCAATACAATGAAATGGGTTCTGCATTGAAGACCGAACCGTGCTAAGTTTTCTTGGGTCCGCATGTCTCTCTTGCTATGAAATATTACTTAAGAATTGCATGGTCTCGACGGGCTAGTTTTTTATTAGCTATAGATCACAGTGACCTTTATTATTCCTATGGTGGGCAGGCGACTACGTGGGTCAAGTGGCGGATGAAATGTAAGTGGCCAGCAATATTATAATTTGGTAGGGTAGTGCATTAGATTTATTTGCGTGAAACCATTTTACTACGTATATAATGATCATAATTATATTTTATATTTTAAATATTTCAAAATTCTGGTGAATTTGCTTAATTGCTAAACTTGGCAAAATAAGGGTAAAAACAGATTCAAGGAGATGGATTCCAAAATTCAAACATTATCGATTATTAAAACGAATGTAAAATGCATCTAAATATGTACACTTATTAAAACTTTTATACATTTGACAAACACAGAACACATTTGTAAGAAAGTCAGTGGAATCGTCCGTGACAAGAATGAGCGCTCTATGTATGTGTGTCTTCGGTGGACAAACGGGAAGTGTCAATTGAATTACTCATTGATAAAGAACAGGAAACCGAGACTTTTGATGAAGGTTTTAACGGAAGCATCTGCAACGTCATTAACAAAGAGTACGCCTCAGCTTTACAATAATTTCCTTTTTATTTTTATGATATTGATTATCGCGCCCTGTGGTCAACAATTTATTATTATTTATTTTTATTTTTTTTAAATTTAATTTTTTAAATAAAAGCTTATTAAAAAAATAATAATTATGACCAGATTGTAAAAGGGTATTTGCATAGCGATAGCTTTAGAAAACGTTGGTAATTAGTGTCTCATATTACTGATCAAACCACTATTAAAAACTGCTGTATTACAGCAAAGGAGATTTAGCATTTTCGAGAAAATCCAAGTTACTTCCTCTAATAAGATTGAACACGTTTTTTTAAAAATGTTTTATATTTTCTCGTTAAACAGCCAATACCTAACAGTTACGAGAAAATCAGTATAGGAAAATAACGCGATGCCAAATCTATGGAGAAATAACATTAAGAAATTATTATGTTAATGCGGTTAGTTGTTTCATCTGTAGATAAAATTTGAGGTTAAACATTTTGTTCGAGATTGTCTCATTTTTCTGATGAAATAATGGTTTCAAAAAATGTATACCTAAACAAAAATAGGAATAATTTTTAGACACAATGTGTATTAATCGGAAGATAAGAACAACAAAAAGAACCCAACAACAACTGTAAAAGCGTTTATAATAAGTTAGATCTCAATGACTGATTTCAGCGGGTAACGTACCAAGTTTGACAAGAGTCTTTCATTTCTGTGATCGGTGGCTTCTTTTCCACAATGAATTGTAACTTTGACCAAAAATTGCCTTAATTATTTGATCTTTTTTATTGACATGACGGAATGTCAGGCCAGGTGTGGCCAAATAAAACTTTTTTTGAAGGCTTGTTGAGGGGTGGTGAGCCGTATATGCTTCATTCTCGTGTAATATTGAACATAGATTCGAAAAACCTAGGCTAGCATATCACAGGCGAGCCTCATCAAGCTTTGCCGTCCATAAAATACACCACGACTAACATGAGTTTCAGGGCCTGACCTGTCAAAACCCTCATTGGTATCGGGGCACGCTGCGATTAGGTGCTCTCCTTTTTGAATCGGCCAGTTACAAACTCGATTGTAAGAATATCTACGCGAGACACGTCGGTTATGAGGCTTCTTCAAGTTTTCACTTTATGTCACCCTTAATGATCACTGCATGTTTCGGTAAAGATGTTCATCGCGAAAGCGCTCTTTGAAGCAAGCTTTGACTGTCGCCAGGGTATCTGCCAGGCTCCATCGAGCTCATTCCCACAGATTTAACAGCAAACTTTGAGTCTGTAAAGACCGCATCGGTCGGGAAGCTTTTTCTCCTCGCCAGGCGACGGCACACTATTGTAGGACAACGCGCATTACTTAAATTTCTGCAACGGAATTCTATTTTTGCACCTGGGCCCTGAAATCTAGTGTAGGTACCATCCCTGGGTACTCTTTGAGTTTCCGTGTCATCAACATCAACCAAAGCGTGCTTGGTCGTAGTTATGGTCACGTACGTCTGCCAGTTGGCACTACGTAATAGCCAATATAACCTGCGAGTTGGCAAAATGTAATAGCCCATGTAACTTTTCGACGCGTACTTTTGTCGTGCCTAACGCTGTCTGTGTTAAGTTTGGGAGTCCGTCACTCAAGTAGAAACAAGAACGTTTTCATTTGTTCGAAAAAGTTTTGTCTTTCTATATTCTTTGAAATGGTACAATACTTTAAAAAATCACAATAACAATAAACGCCTTATATTTTTTATACTGTTTCCCCTTATTTTGTTCATAACACACACTATACATGGTCTGTCTTGTGATAGAGATGTGATGACTGTGGTTATCGACATCTGATTTGTGTTATTGTCCAAAAGTTCATAGGGCTGTTGCTGACCTTTGTAGAGTTAGTTGTGTCCATTCTACCCATGGGGCTAGTGACACAATTAGTAGATTGTGCCATCAGGCACTTAAAGCAAGGCTCTCAAAATTGTGTTCACTTGTATTAGTCATTTGTTCATTTTCGCACTTCCCCTTTTCGATCGCTGTGCACATGTTAACAGTGAGACCAGAGACCAGAGTTCATCAGATGAATGATGGATATTATTTTCATAAGGTGGGCAATTAAAGTACAAAGACCATTGAACACACCGGATATGCAGCGATTAACTGTAGACAAAGAATGTATTGTATACTGGAGGATAGTGATATTGGCTTAATAGCAATGTTGACTTTGATTTAGTATTTCGAGTTATTTCTAATACTCCTTATGTTACTCTTTCATTACTCCTTATGTTACTCTTTCATTACTCCTTATGTTACTTTTTCATTACTCCTTATGTTACTCTTTCATTACTCCTTATGTTACTCTTTCATTACTCCTTATGTTACTTTTTCATTACTCCTTATGTTACTCTTTCAATACTCCTTATGTTACTCTTTCATTACTCCTTATGTTACTTTTTCATTACTCCTTATGTTACTCTTTCAATACTCCTTATGTTACTCTTTCATTACTCCGTATGTTACTCTTTCATTACTCCTTATGTTACTCTTTCATTACTCCTTATGTTACTCTTTCATTACTCCTTATGTTACTCTTTCATTACTCATTATGTTACTCTTTCATTACTCCTTATGTTACTCTTTCATTACTCCTTATGTTACTCTTTCATTACTCCTTATGTTACTCTTTCATTACTCCTTATGTTACTCTTTCATTACTCCTTATGTTACTCTTTCATTAGCAAACACAACGGATGTAAGTCTCATATTTAGGATTTAGATTTTGTTTCAAATCTTTCCCAATGCACATACAGAGGCTGATTAATGCCAAGAATACCTTCTGTTTTGTTGATTTGCGAAGCAGTATTATGAGCAAAAGTTTAAATAATTGAGTTTGAAAGATTCTGAGGTGACCAATAAAACTAAAGACCATGACATAGAACATAATATGAAACACGTATCTAGATCGTCCTTCATATGCATTTCATCTAACCTCTTACCAAAGATTGTTACGTCTCTCGTTGTGCAATTGCATGTTCAATGAATGTTTTGTTATTCGCAGTTCACCTCACGCTATTGAAGCAGTTTGGCAAGAAAATAGCTTAGTCTGCAAACAGTAGAAGATATTTTTACTTGATATCGATATTTTGTGTTCATAAAAACATTGACAAACGTAACTGCCAAAAAAAATATTTAGAGCAGTACTCGGAGAAACTCGGAAAAATAAAAAATATTGTTTTACTATCATGTCTTTTGAGGTTCAACAAATTTTGATCTTTAACACAATATGCATGCACTCTACTTTATTATGCAGCTGAAAAGTGTCTAGTATTACGGGCGTATTGTAAGCGCTGTCTACCGTCTATCCATTGATATCTACTCCAAGGACAACAGGCTTTAATATTTTCTAGGAGAAACGTTTTGCATTTACCTCACGAGCATCTCGAGCTTTAGGTATTAATGTGACATTAGCGATATTATTATTACACTTTTATAATATAATAATCATTCAGTTTAGACGCTTGTTTACAAACATACCTTTAGTGATTTTTCACAAAATAGTCTCTTAAAACGAAACAAATTGCTGCCTAATTTAAGAGGATGCAAATTATTATTATTTTTTTTTCATTACCAAAGCATTACCTAATTATGTTATTGCTATATGTATATATTTATGTAACTTGCTATATGTATATATTTATGTAACATATTTACAACTAAAAAAAAATAATAATGGGAAATAAAAAATCAATGGTAGTTCAATAATATTTAATGTATAACGTGTTCAATTTATTGTATCATAACAATTGCAATAAAATGATGATATGCAATACAAAAACAATATAAGCACCCAACTACTTTTATTGGATCTATACATAGTTTAACATTCGTAATACATTTATATTTTGAATAAAGTTACATTCCAAAGAGAAACGCATTTGCTTTATTTATTTATTTTTAATGTACATACGATTTGGAGCTTGTTATAAGGATTTAAAAAAAAAACAAAGACACGTCGTTACTAAACAAAGACACGTCGTTACTAAACAAAGACACGTCGTTACTAAACAAAGACACGTCGTTACTAAACAAAGACACGGCGTTACTAAACAAAGACACGTCGTTACTAAACAAAGACACGTCGTTACTAAACAAAGACACGTCGTTACTAAACAAAGACACGTCGTTACTAAACAAAGACACGTCGTTACTAAACAAAGACACGTCGTTACTAAACAAAGACACGTCGTTACTAAACAAAGACACGTCGTTACTAAACAAAGACACGTCGTTACTAAACAAAAAGGAGGATTTATTATTATTCTTAAAAAAAAACAATGCAGCATTTGCTAGGTGTAAATGGGAGATAAAACATGTCAGTGTTAATATGATCTAAAGGTAGGCGCATAGTAATAATAATAATAATAAAGTTTATTTGAACTTAAAATAATACTTTATTAATTCTCACTAGAAAAACACAATCCTTATCATTTGTGTGTGTGCGTAATAATTGAATCAGCAACAATGAGTTCTTTTTAACCTCGCCTTTAAACACGTTACATGACGATTTCTCCGTCTCCTGAACACGTAGCAGAGACTTACGAGGACGACCAGGAGTGTTGTGAGACCGACGATCACACCGATAATCACATCAATGATAGTCCTGTTTGGTGTGTTGACAGTGTCCGGTGATGTGTGGACAGGGTCAGGGCCATGAGTCGTCGTGATGTCGGTAGGTAGCAGGCCTCCAGATGATGACATATCTTCTAACGTACTAATCATAGTTGTATCACTGACATCAGTTGAAATGGATGTCGTCTGTTTATTAGTGTCTGTTGTTTCACTAATTGCATTTGAAATGGATGTTGTCTGTTGAGTAGTGTCGGTTGTTTCACTAATTGCATTTGAAATGGATGTTGTATGTTTAGTAGAGTCTGTTGTTTCACTAATTGCATTTGAAATGGATGTTGTCTGATTAGTAGTGTCTGTTGTTTCTTTAATTGCAGTGGAAATGGATGGCGTCTGTTTAGTAGTGTCTGTTGTTTCACTAATTGCATTTGAAATTAATGTCGTCTGGTTAGTAGTGTCTGTTGTTTCACTAATTACAGTGGAAATGGATGGCGTCTGTTTAGTAGTGTCTGTTGTTTCACTAATTGCAGTGGAAATGGATGGCGTCTGTTTAGTAGTGTCTGTTGTTTCACTAATTGTAGTGAAAATGGATGTAGTATATTTAGTAGTATCTGTTGTTTCACTAATTGCAGTGGAAATGGATGTTGTCTGTTGAGTAGTGTCGGTTGTTTCACTAATTGCATTTGAAATGGATGTTGTATGTTTAGTAGTGTCTGTTGTTTCACTAGTTGCATTTGAAATGGATGTCGTCTGTTTAGTGCTGTCTGTTGTTTCACTAATTGCGTTTGAATTGGATTTCGTCTGTTTAGTAGTGTCTGTTGTTTCACTGATTGCATTTGAAATGAATGTCGTCTGTTTAGTAGTGTCTGTTGTTTCACTAATTGCAGTGGAAATGGATGTCGTCTGTTTAGTAGCGTCTGTTTCACTAATTGCAGTGGAAATGGATGTAGTATATTTAGTAGTATCTGTTGTTTCACTAATTGCAGTGGCAATGGATGTAGTATGTTTAGTTGTGTCTGTTTCACTAATTGCAGTTGAAATGGATGTAGTATGTTTAGTAGTGTCTGTTGTTTCAATAATTGCAGTGGAAATGGATGTAGTATGCTTAGTAGTGTCTGTTGTTTCACTAACTGCAGCTGAAGTGTGTGTTGTTGTCTCTCTAATGCTGTCGGCTGGGGTGGTTTGACCAGTTGGAAATACTGCTGTAACATTTGCGTCCCAAACTACCTCCAATGTCTGTTTGTCACACGTCCCTGAGCTTGGTGAGTACAATGTACTGACGCTGCCTGTAGGACTCATCGTCCTAGCGCATGTTATATTAACGTAGTAGTGAATATAGAACCATGACTTGGTGACTTCTATTGAGCATGATATGGATAACGATGTATTGCGGTCGGCCTTGGTAGTGTTCTCCGTAGCATCTACATTGGCTATGTACGGATTACCTTGTGTACTGGGTATTGTGGGGAAGTAATGGAATGGAGAGGTTGTCGTTTGGCAGGTGTTTATGACGTCACTGCATAGACACTCGTAGAACCTGGAATGACACAGAAGGGTTTGGCTGCTTTAAATCGTTTGACTTCTCTTTATGTAATCTAACTTTAGAATACTTTGGAGGGGAGGTAATAATGGTATTTGTTAGGACTGTGTGTTGGGTTGGATCAAATGAGTTACTTGCCCTTTTTAATGTGTTCTTTTTTTTCCTTTTTTTCTTTTTTTTTTTTTTTTTTTCAGCAGTATGGGTTTTATTTTTAATCGCGCATTTTTTTACTTTAGAATACTTTGGAGGGGAGGTAATAATGGTATTTGTTAGGACTGTGTGTTGGGTTGGATCAAATGAGTTACTTGCCCTTTTTAATGTGTTCTTTTTTTTCCTTTTTTCTTTTTTTTTTTTTTTTGCAGCAGCATGGGTTTAATTTTGAATCGCGCAATTTTTGTGTGTGGTAGTGTCTTATGTTTTAGAGTTCAAATCTTTAAATGTTATCGTATTCAAAAGCCACTGGTATAAGGCGTCGAAACTTTGTGAGACAAAGAGATTCTCGTAACTACCAAATGTATTAGGTTTTAACGTAACCCGCTCGTTACCTATCGGATGTGAGGGAAATAGAATACTTTAATTATCATAGAGAACAAAATCACATTAAAGAGAGGAAATCCAAAATGCTCTATATTAATAAATAGTTTAACTTTTGAACTCGGTTCCTTTTTTTTCCCCATTCAATAACTTGTATTCCATTTAAAAAAAACAAGAATAATTTGCTTTGGAATTTAGGAAAATAAATTTAAAAACAACAATTTTAACAAATTTATACAATAATATTTGTTTCCTTTCAACCCATCAGTGTACCGATGAGTCAATTCAAACATCGAATCCCAGTTAAAAAAAAACAAAATAAAACAAAACAACAACATTGCTCAGCTTGAAATGTGTGAATAGCAGTAAGGTAGTAGATTAAATGGCGTTGATTCTATTTTCTATGCTCAAAAAGAGAATTAGATTGTTAGTGGGTTTTTTTTCTTTAATTCAGAGAACACAAGATTGATGCCTTTATTTTCATTCAATATGCTTCGAAAATAAACCTTAGTTTAATTTCATAAACCATTAACAAGTCACTGACTATTATTTGTTAAAAAAAAAATGAAACAAACATAAACATATTTTGAAATATTTTATAAAGAGTTATTATTTTTAAAAGAGTCGGCTATATCAACACAACAGTACACATAATATTACAATAAAAGTGTAAACAAAAAAACAAAAACAAAGAAAAAAACCCAACTTACTCTGTAAAAGTATTTCTATTGAAGTTAATTGAAATACTTTCGTACATCAGCTCCAAAAAATGAAACAAACATAAACATATTTTGAAATATTTTATAAAGAGTTATTATTTTTAAAAGAGTCGGCTATATCAACACAACAGTACACATAATATTACAATAAAAGTGTAAACAAAAAAACAAAAACAAAGAAAAAAACCCAACTTACTCTGTAAAAGTATTTCTATTGAAGTTAATTGAAATACTTTCGTACATCAGCTCCAAAAAATGAAACAAACATAAACATATTTTGAAATATTTTATAAAGAGTTATTATTTTTAAAAGAGTCGGCTATATCAACACAACAGTACACATAATATTACAATAAAAGTGTAAACAAAAAAACAAAGAAAAAAAACAAACTTACTCTGTAAAAGTATTTCTATTGAAGTTAATTGAAATACTTTCGTACATCAGCTCCAAAAAATGTCCATCAGTCACACCGGAGATGTTGGGGAGTTTGACTGTTAGACATATAACAAATAACAATCTTGTCTGTATCAACATGTCCAACTGTCTTAGCTGCTGGTCTCAGAGCAATGCTATCGTCTTCCGTACAGTAGCAGTTTAGCTGTCTTTATTTAGGGTTATTACATGCAGTACACGACTTGCTCTTTAAGCTGGGATCACTTTACACTTATTCCAATGGTCACACTATCACTTTAACTGCTCAACGCATAAGCACAACTTCTAGTCTCAATTGAATACTAACAGAGTTAGTAAATTTATTTCGATCTCTATCTATCTCAGTTGAATTTTACCTCAGTCACTGAGGGTACATGTCATTTAACAACTGTTACTTATTGTGAAATTCTAAAATTCTTTTACTATAAACTTTATTAAAAACCCGTGACATTCCATACTGACGTTGCTCTGAAGTACAAAAAAGGTATAATATACAAGTGAATGTAGGGTAGACAGAGGGTTCTCGCTGTCATACATCTATAAGAATAAGGTTAAATATTTGAACAATAAGGCTGATGTAAGCGATCTACTCAGATATCCTGTTGCCTTAAAAAAAAGAACACGCTGTCACGACAAGAATATGAAAAAAAGTTTGTTTTGCTTAAATAAAGAGAAGAATTGGAGAGTCTCGTATACTTGTCAAAATTTAATTCTTGTATGTTCCTAACACAATCTTCAATCCTTTACTTAATCATTCGATTGTAAGATCATTTAATTTACAGTACTTGTAGGATGCTTAATGTTGCTAGATATGACTGTTGATATTTATATATTTTAAAAGTTCAATGTATTTAACATTTAAATAGCAGTCAGAACTAACTGCCTTCAATTACTACCAAATGGCATTTAGTAAACATTTATTAAACTCCTAAGGACCTGTTGATTTAGTAAGATATATTAAATCCGAAACAACCTGGTCATTTAGCAAGATCTATTACCCACGAAGGACTTGGTCATTTAGCAAGATCTATTACCCATGAAGGACTTGGTCATTTAGCAAGATCTATTACCAATGAAGGACTTGGTCATATAGCAAGATCTATTACCCATGAAGGACTTGGTCATTTAGCTAGATACAATAAACCATTTGGGACCTAGTCATTCAGTAAGATACAGTTACCCAGTTGGGACCTGGATGACCTGGACCGAAAAATTCTTGCCTACCATATGTTGTGCAGGCCTGATTTAAACTATTCAACCTAATTTGTTAACACATTTTAAACTATTCAAACCTCATTTCTTAACACATTTTAAACCAGCAAGGGGCTTAACCCAGTAAAGACCTGGACTTCATTCAGGGTATGTTTGAGGATATATATTTCAAAAGAAAACTATTTATAAACACACTGGTGTGTGAGGAGGAAGCTGTGTGTGTGCTTGTGTGTGTGTGTGTGTGTGGCGTGGGACCTTTAAGGGGACGTCATCTTATGGCCACCTCAGGTTATATATGTCTTATGATATTTAGGTAGGCAAGTCCGGTATGTTTCGTGATTTTCCGTGAGCAAATATCGGTAAACTGAAGGAGCGTCTTAAACTGTATACGCGCCAGTTGTTACAGACTACACGCTACATATTACGTGTACTGTAATACTTTTTATACGTTTACCTTATTAAATGATTTTTTTTAAATATTATCAGACAAATTCTGATTAGTTCGAACAATATTAAGAAAATACTATTTAACGCCACAAGGATGCAGGGATGAAGGTAATGAAGAATAGACCATTTTATTTTGCTCTCTAATGGGTATCTAAATGTTTAACGATCAGTTTATGTCTTTAGTGATCCATGTAATCATTAAAATGATTAAAAAAAAAACCTTGTATTGGATCACTTGATGTCAACTTCCATAGAAACCGTTTGAATTATGATTATTTTATTTTTAGAATTTAATGAAGGGGAGAAAGGGGAAGTAAATCTGACCAAGTTATTTAGCAAAATAAAACTATTTGTAGCCACACCTTACATGCGAAAAGTTATTTTGTAACTTTGCGGTTTTCCCGTAAAGCTTCCTTCGTAGATTTCAACGACAGTGGCCGTGTTTGCACTGTGTTTAGCTGAGCAAATTTAATAACAAGCGACAGTTCCCCCTTCCATTAGAGAACGGGACAAAAGCACTTTCGTGTTAGCACCCAAATACATGAATATAATATATATATATATTTATATATATATATATATATATATATATATATATATATATACACACATACATATTATATATATTCTATTCCCCCTCCATTAGAGAACGGGACAAAAGCACTTTCGTGTTAGCACACAAATACATAAATATAATATATATATATATTTATATATATATATATATATATATATATATATATATATATACACACATACATATTATATATATTCGATTAATAATAGAAAGGTTATTACTTTTCTTAACAACTTCCATTACGTCTTTTTAAATTTATGATCTCGTTCCAACTGATTGCATTATATATATATGTATATATATATTTGTTTTTAGTTGTTGTTTCACTAAAAGATTTTAGGCTTAGATGGATGGATTGGTGTGAAAAAGTGCTGTACAGCAGCCAGGAACCCAAGCATGGAAAATAACAACATCAGTTTAGGTCTTAATGAAAGGACGTGTTGAGGCAGCTCTAAACCTTACATTGGGCTTTAGCGTCACAGTCAGGGATGGATGTGTCAAATGTATGTCCTATTTATTTATCATTTACAATATAATTGAGGATCTAGTCATCAAACACTACTCATATTATTTATGAACGAACATCATAATTGCTTTAATTGTTACATCTTATTCGTACAGCACCACTGACATCATTGTTATTGGCGTACTCTGAATAAATAGGAACAGGGATTTTTTTTTTTTTTTTTTTTTTTTTTTTTGGGCATTTTTTAAACCCAATTCAAAAATTTTTTTGCCACGTTTTAAGGGACGATTTTGAAACCGCTTAATTTTGTTTGCCTGAGCAACAATAGG